TAGGGGTTCAGGCTTTAGGTTTTAGGGGTTTAGGGGTTTAGGGTTTACGGGGTTAAGGGGTTGAGGTTGCTTTCTGACTTTGGTTAGGGCTCTCGGATTTGAGCATTCGTGAAGGCGTGAAGGTTCGCAGTTCAACACAGCAAAATTGCAGCAGGAGGCACCGATGGGCAGCACAGGTTCAAGCCCCCATTATAATAAGGTTCCTAGAAGGTTTCCTATAAGGAGTTTAGGGTTTATGAGAAGGTTCCTATAAGGGTTGGCTCCTATTAACATCCTTAAAACACACCTTTCAAACCCTGGGCCTTGAGCCCGAGACCCTGCACCCCCACAGGCCAGCAAATTGAGTGAGGGTAAGGAAGGGCACGGAAAGCTGCAAGGCCTGCTGTACTCGACTTACACCCCTAAAGCTCTGAACTCAAAACCCCAACCCCACCCTCCCTCAGGTGCTGAAACCCTGACGGCTAAGCCCCACCCCAAACCCTAACCATGAAGCCCCTAAACTTCTGCCGGTATGTTTTCCATGTGCTTCCTTCTGTCGCAGGCATTCACATAGACGCCATTCGCTTAAATCGTCATAGGCTTAACACCCCCAAGCCTCCCTAAACGCAAAGCCCTAAAAGCAGAAGCTAAGCCCTTAATGAAGGAACGTGCGGCGCCTGCCCCCGGAGATAGTCACCTACAACGCCGCTATGGCGAGCTGCAAGAGGTGTGGGCTTTCTTGGGTTTCAGACGCGGTCTGGCGGGGTTTAGCGCTTAGGGCTCTATGGGGTCTTGGAAGGGGATCATAGTTGTTTATATACGGGGCTTCTAGGGCGGCAAAAGGCATGTTGCCTCCCCTGATGGGCATCATACGATACTGTTGTTGAAGGTGTATGGGAAGGTTCCCTGGTTTTTTTTTTATGAGCCTCTCTCTCCCACACTTTCCGATGCAGCCATAGGATGGTGCACCCGACGAAAACGCCAAAGCCTACCAAAAGCCTTGGACCCGAACCCTTCAAACCAAGGCCCTGAACCCTAAACCCTATTCCCCCCCCAAAAAAAAGAAGCAAAGAACCCTAAACCCGAAAGCAAGCTCCAAACTGTCAGGGTTTCGGGTTCAGGGTTTAGGGTTCAGCCTAGAACGACACTTGTATACAACACGACAAGCCAGGCAGAAACGCCTTGTTATAGATCTAAACCGAAAGCCTTAAATCCTAAACCTTAAACCAACCCTAAACCCTAAAGCCTAAACCCTAAACCAACCCCAAACCCTAAAGCCTAAACCCTAAGCCAACCCTAAACCCTAAAACCTAAACCCTAAACCAACCCTAAACCCTAAAGCCAGGAATGGGCTCTGGGAAGTTGCCCTAGGGCTCATGGAGCAAGCGGAGGTCGAGCAATGGGTGCTTTCAGGTTTTCTCCGTAGGTTTTAGTTTCTTTTGTTTTTAAGTTTTTCTGTTTGGGTTTTGGTTTTTGTTTTTAATTCCGACTTGTTTCTATATTTTAATGTTTTGCCTTTAGGGGTTGTAGAGTTTAGGCACGTTCGGGTTCAGTGCTTACTGGTTTTAGGGTCTCCACGCGGCCTCAATGTCTGGAGCAGCGTGTCGTCTTTTAAAAGGGGGTAGTTTTCTAAATCAGGGTCCCTTTTTGGATCCCCAAGATAGTACGGCACCCCTAAAAGGGGCCCTAATTTAGAGAACTACCCATATAGGGCTTAGTGATTTTTTTGTTGCGAGTTCTGGCGGCACGTGCAGTCTGGGTGGTGTTCGGGGGTGGGCAGATTCAGTTTTGGGCTTGGGGGTAGTTGAGTTGTTCTAGTCCGCTCTGATCCCTCAGCCCTAAACCCTATAAACCCTAAACCCTAAACCCTAAACCCTAAACCCTAAACCCTAAACCCTGAAGCCTAAACCCTGAAGCCCTAAGG